GTTTTTGGTCGGGCGTTGGGTCGGGGGAAAACTCAGCTGAGTTGAGCTAGGCTTTGCTTAGCTGAGCTGGCGGAGGTGACGCGCAGCAGTGGATGGATGGGTTTGGTGTTGCCTTACCCCTGCAGCTGCTCCTTCTTACTCTTCAGTCTATGAATACTATTTAGTCACATGTCTTCTGTCCAAGCAAGCGTCCTAGAGCGCCAGATCTCCTTCGTTCTTACAAAATAGCTCACCGAGAAGTTCGTGCCTCTCAGCACGTGTCTTTATCCTTGTTTAGAAGTTGTGTTTAGGGATTTCTTTCCTGCAATGAATCCATGTTTGACGGTAAATTAGCTCCCGCGTACTATCAACAGGTTAGGGCTTTCACCGTACTGTTGTCACTTCTAGTCCACTTTCTAAGAGCCGAAATCTTCGTGGGATTTTTCGCCTTCCTCCGCCGCACAGAGCGGATGGCAGTTAACTCCTGGCAATGGGTTCTTGCGGCTTTTGAGATGTACGACAGCGTTGAGCTTGAAGATGAAGGTATTTTTTCAAGCAGAGGCGAGAGCGCAGATTGGGGCTTGTCAACTTCTCCGAGCCGGTCGATTTCAAGAAACCGCAAGACTGTTTCCCCGTCGAAATCTATGGCGTCGTCGGAGGATTGCAAGACCCTGGAGGTTTTTTTTTCTTCAAGCGAATCTTGCAATGGCAAATGCGAGAAAAAAGATTCGCTGGCGGAGCTGACAGCTACGGAGGAGGTTATAATGAACTTTTTGGAAAGGTCAACACTCGCGCAAGAACCCAACCAGATTGACGACCCAGTCGCTGTGTTTCCACAATGCGTGTGGCCGCTGATTGCTTACCAACAAGCCATGGTTGCAGGCTTCTGGTTGCGAATCTTCAGATTTCTCATTCCTGCAAGAAAGAAGCTTTCGGAGGACCGGATTCGTCCTGCAGACGCGGAACAACCATCCTGCGACCAACAGGACTTCCCAATAATAAGCGCTTCGGATGCGACGTCAACTGACGTGAATGCGAACTGCATCGTCTGGAGCGCTCCACGTGGCGGCGAAACGCCGGTCTCAGCATCGGCAGAAGCAGATTCGGACGATGCGACGTCAGACCACCTTTTCACCGTTCCGCAGCTGGCGCCGCTGAGTCCCTCCGACGAGCCGTTTGATACCTCCAAGCTGCTTCCTCCGCTTCGCTCCGTCCACTTCAACCGCAAGACCCTCGTTCTGGACTTGGATGAAACCCTTATTCATTCCGTCTTCACGCCGATCATGAACGCGGATTTCGTCATAAGCCTGGACGTTGACGGCCGCCTGACTACTATTTACGTCCATAAGCGTCCCGGAGTGGAGGAGTTTCTCCGCGCCGTCGCGCAGGTCTACGAGGTGGTTGTTTTTACCGCGAGCATGGCGGGTTACGCGAACGCGCTCGTCGATCTCTTAGATCCGCAGCGCTGCCTCGTTCACCACCGTCTTTTCCGGGATTCCTGCATCTGGTGGAGGAATAGCTACGTCAAGGATCTGACGATGCTCGGAAGGGACCTGACAAAGACCATGATAGTTGATAACAGCCCGCTCTCCTACGCGTTTCAGCCGGAGAACGGCATTGCGATTCCCTCGTACTACGACGAGCAGGGGGACCGTGAGCTCGCGAAGCTTGTCCCCGTTTTAATGAAGCTCGCTGCGGTCGAGGATGACGTTCGGCTCCATCTTGCGGGGCTTGGAAGCGTCCATGTGGGGTGATGATAAAATCAGCTGATGCTGATACTTGTATTGTGAAAGACACGCCATGGCATGGCACCGCAGCTTACAGCTGCCGTAACCAATAAGGAGCGCCAGCATGCGTGCTGCTATGCTCTTACTTAAGCGCTCTGCTTCCATGTTATACGCTAGTAACTTCTCTTTCTGTGCCTCCCTCTTCACCAGTTTAGCCCCCCGTTTTTCACGTTTACCATACTCAGCTGTAGCTCCACTGTGCGTGGATCTGGTGTTTGCTCCCATACATGACAAGGTATCCTTTCTTCCTTTCTTCCTATCTGTGCTAGTATCTGTTCTTGCTTGCTTCCTTGAATGTGGAAGCTTATTAGGCATTGCAGGCCGAGTGTAGCACAGACGTTTATGCTGTACTTTCTCTGTAATAATGAAAATTTCTCCTTGATGCAACTGTTTCCTAACGGGTGATTTTGTGGCGAGTGTTTCCAAGGGAATTCCCGCCGTGACACGGGTTTGTGATTCGTGATGGTGTCAGCAAATTAACAACAGCTTCAAACATTGGCGGGTTCAGAATGTACTTGTTACGAGTGCAATCGAGTGAACGAACGAGAATTGCACTATCGAAGCAAGAGTACAATGAGCGAAGGCATGAGCGAAGAATATATAGCGAAACTACAGTGGTAACGGTAATGGACTGTGGCAGGGCCTATTTTTGGATTTTAGGTACTCTGATTTCCAGAGTAGTTTTTTTCCCAACTCTGAAATCTAGGGTTGTTCCTGCGCCTTACTCTGATTTGTCAGAGTAACCCTATACTTTCAAAAAAAAACCCAGGCACGTCAGAGTAATATTTTTCTCTACTCTGATGTTAGTTAAGTTTGGTGTACCATGACCTTAATAGGTTTTTGTTACGCCTTTTGTACTTGCATTTCCGCGTCGCCCACGTTTCCCCCCTCACTGCGATGTTTCAGAGTGAGGTGTTGGCGGCACCGATAATCTGACTAAGGGCGTGTTCCTACGGCCCCTTATCAGGGCAACCCCTTATCAAGCTCGCTACTTTTCCCCCTGAAAATTTCCTAAACCTAAAACCCTCGCTACTTTTACCAGGCAAGGCTGACAAGAGGTTTGCCTGATAAGAGCGTAGGAACACGCCCTAAGGGCGTGTCCGAAGTGAAACGTCAATAGATGTCGCTGGATGTCGGTAAATGTCATCCCTCGGATCGACAGTTCCAACCGTCAGGATTTACCGACATCCCCAAACGGATGTCCACGGATGTCGACGTTTCACTTCGAACACCCCCAAAGAGCGTGTCTGAAGTGAAATGTCGACGGATGTACAGTTTCGTCGGGGAATGCTGGCGAATCTCAACCCTCGGATTGAGCGTTCCGACCGTCATGATTCCTCGACGTCCCTCAAAGTTTTGTCGGGAAACATCGACGTTCACTTCAGACATAAAGAGAGAGGGGACTGGCTGGCATCGTGCGCTGGTTGGGAAAGTTGTCAAACTACGGTAGCCAATCAGTGCTCATATTGCCGCCAACACACGACAGAAATCAGGAGAATGATCTCGACGATTCGGGGAAAACCCGCTAAACGCAGAAGGAGGTGGGGAGGGGAGGGGGGCGGGGGAGGGGGGGCCGGCAGGTATTCCCTATACAGAGTAAATTCGGTCCCCGAAAAAAAAACCCAGAGGCCTCAGAGTAAACTACAGCATAACTCTGACAAATCAGAGAAATCGGAAGTCCCAAAAAAATTACCCAGCGGGTACAGAGTTACTTTCAAAAATGACTCTGATTTTCAGAGAAACAGAGTAATTTACTCTGAAAACGTGAGGTTTGGACTGTGGTTGTCGCGCGACGGGCCTGGGACTGAGGTTGGGAAAAGTGTCGAAGTGGAGGCCCGGAGCGCGGGTTACACGCCGAGCCGTGAGGTCGGGATGCGGCGTGCGAAGGTGGCGGGCGGATTGTCGATGCGATGATTGCGAGTGGTAACGGTGCTGACTGTGGTGCTACAGTGATGTACGCGTTGAGCAGGGATGCGAAGTAAGGAAAAGGAATTTTCCTTACACTACCCCCCCCCTTAAAGCCCGCATGCAAAATAGTGACCCCCGTCCCAACTTGAATGAGGAGTTGCAAGTGAGGATGAAACCAGTATCAAAAACACTGTTTCAAACGATTTGTATGGGCAGACTGAACTCATGTTATTGGCTCTCGCCACAATGGAACGTAATGGTTCCCGCCAAAATGAACTTTCTTTCTCATATCAGCCGTCGCATTTTTGCGTGCCGCATCCGCACGACAAACCCCAGGCGATGGTTTCCCATCGCAGGCCCAACCTCATTTTCAAGCTGGTGATGGGTGCATTACTAGATTTCTGTCACTCCATTCATCACTAGTTTTCGCATACCGTCATCACCCGGATATAAGACAGTGTTGAATAGTAGACAGGGGTTGTCTACTATACGGGTGTCTCTTATAAACAGGCTAGCCTCATTATAAAACACCTATTTGTGTGTACGAGATAAGACATATATGTCTTATAATCGAAACTTCAATAAATTATAGCGAAAGTTGAAATACCGCGTACATTTTTACCCTTGCGAAGCGCGAATTCTTCCACGCGCTGACCCAGGACCTACCAAATTTTCCCCTGCATGTGTTCTCCATAACGTGGCGTCCCGGGCAGAGGTTGTCGAAGTGGCACCTTCGCAACATCCACACTCATTATGAGAAACTCTTTTTCAAGAAGTACGGAAAATATTTCTAAGTAGTTTAAAAAGTTTCCATTTATAAGACTTATAAGACACCCTAAACCATCCCGTTTACAAGATAACTCAAGCATTTTTGCCCGTGTACGAGATAAGACATATATGTCTTATATCCGGGCGATGACGGTAGCATAGTAAGTAGTATAGCTGAAAGCACAGGCGTTCGTGTCATAGCCACGTAATTACCGACGAGTGCGTCAATCGTCGACTTAGCAAGAGTGTGAAATGTAGGTTTACATGGCCTGGTAGCGCAGTGCCAGTTTCCTGTCTCAATCAATTTGCCCGTCGCCTCGCTCTCTAGTCCGTCCCGTCGCCTTTCCGTCACCCTCGCAAACACACGCGTAACGGCCCTCCCGTCGTCGTCACGGTCTCCCCTCCCGGTCTGTTATTCTCCCGTTCACCCCTCTTGTCCTCTCGCCCTCGCGATTTCCCTCCGATCCCGTCGCCTTCCCGTTCTCCCGCCCCTCGCCTTCGATGTCCCCTCTTCCTTCCCGTCGCCCTCACTATCTCCCTTCCCTCACGTTGCCTTCGATGTCCCCCTTTTCCCTCGCGATATCCCTTCCCCCTCCCGTCGCCTGTCCGCTCTCTCTCCCGTCGCCTGTCCGCTCCCCCCGCCCTCGCCTTCGTGCTCTCTCTCCCGTCGGCTTCGCGCCCTCCCTCCCGTCTCTTTCGCGCTCTCCCTCCCGTTGCCTGTCCGCCCTCCCTCCCATCTCCTTCGCGCTCTCCCTCCCGTTGCCTGAACCCCCGTCCCTCCCTTCACCTTCGCGCTCTCTCTCCCGTCGCCTGTCCGCTCCTCCTCCCCTCGCCTTCGTGCTCTCTCTCCCGTCGCCTTCGTGCTCTCCTTCCCGTCGGCTTCGCGCCCTCCCTCCCGTCTCCTTCGCGCTCTCCCTCCCGTTGCCTGTCCGCCCTCCCTCCCGTCTCCTTCGCGCTCTCCCTCCCGTTGCCTGTCTGCCCTCCCTCCCTTCGCCTTCGCGCTCTCTCTCCCGTCGCCTGTCCGCTCCCCCTCCCCTCGCCTTCGCTCTCTCCCTCCCGTCGGCGCCCTCCCTCCCGTCTGCTTCGCGCTCTCCCTCCCGTTGCCTGTCCGCCCTCCCTACCTTCGCCTTCGCGCTCTCTCTCCCGTCTCCTGTCCGCTCTCCCTCCCATCGCCTTATCGCTCTCCCTCCCGTCGCCTTTCTCCTTCCCCACTTCATCTCCTATCGCTCACGTCCTCCCCTCCCATCGGCATCGCGCTCACGTTCCGCCCTCCCGTCACCATCGCGCTCACGTGCACATGTCTTCGCATCGCCTTCGCGCTCATGGCCTCCCCTCCGATCACGTCTCGCGACATAATTTAAGCTAGCAAGCACGTCTCGCGCCGTCGCTATCTCCCATCACGTTCCGCGCCGTTGCTATCTCCCCCCTTCACTCCGCCGCGCTCGCTGTTTCTCCCCCCTCTCCCCGTCGCGCTCGCTATCTCCCACGCGATCTCATAGCGATCCCCTATTCGCAGTCGCCTATGCGATCTACTCCGTTTTCCGTCGCCCGCGATCTCCCCCATTGTACGGTAAATCGCCCTCGCTATACCCCCTCCCTTACCGTTCTAATTCCCGTCGGCCCCTCTCCTCTCGAATCACCTTGTCGGTCTTCTGTTTGCTACTTGCATCACTCTGTGTTGTTAGTTAGCTCAACATTGTGTGTATGCTGCGTGTGTGGTGGCAGGTTCCGTTGTGAAATTTGTGATGTGTTGTGCTCGATGCGGATTTGGATGGGTGGGAGAAGTGGAAATGTCATAGCAAGCTTGCGACAATTCTGTGCAAGTTGTGACTGATCGTATCAGAATTCGGAAACAACTTCAAATCGGTCTTGTTACTACTTGGGGACTTGCCCTGTTCAGAAAAAAACACCAAACTTTCTGGAAATTTTCATGAGCTTTCTAGTGGACCCAACTAGAAGGGGGGGGTCACTATTTTGCATGCGGGCTTTAAGGAGGCCCTCCTTACGAAAGTGCATGTACATCCCTGAAATTTCGGCTACGCAGATACTCGGTGAGGACGGGGTGATTTTCGATTATGTCCAGGGGAACCCAATTGTCTTCGGTGGGTGTACGGTCCTTCCAGCGGAGTAAGAACTCGATCCTTCGGGCTCCTCGAGGGTCGCGAACTCTGTGACTCAGGATTTTCTCGCGGGTGATGATTGTTCAGTTGGTGGTCTGGTCATGCTGGCTGGGCGATTGCGTGGCAGTTGGCTCGTGGACGGGACGTAAGGGCGAAGTAGGCTGACGTGGAATGAGGGGCTGACGTGCCAGTCAGCAGGGAGGAGGAGGTGGGCGGTGACGGGTGTAAGCATGTGGCTTATGCGAAATGGCCCGCAGTATCGGGGGCGGAGTTTCGGGGTGATAGGCAGTCGGAGGTTCTGAGTGTCAAGTAAAACTAAGTCGTCGGGCTGGTAAGTGACAGGTCTGCGGTGGCGGTCGGCGTTGCGTCTAGCGATGATGTTCGATTTTTTTATTGCGTCTACTGCCCGGGTCCGTGCTGCTTGTAATATTTCGGCGAACTGTTGTGCTCGTGGTACCGTCATCGCCCGGATATAAGACATATATGTCTTATCTCATACACTAAAAAATATGCTTGGGTTATCTTGTATTTGGGGAGGTTTTGGGTGTCTTATATGTCTTATAAATGGAAACTTTTTTAAACTACTTAGAAATATTTTCACGCATCTTGAAAAGAGTTTCTCATTAAGAGTGTGGATGGTTCAAAGGTGCCACTTCGGCAACCATTGTTCGGGACGTCACGTCATCCCGAATACTTGCAGAGGCAAATTTGGTAGTACGTGAGTCAGCACGTGGCAGAATTCGCGTGTCGCAAGGGTAAAGATGTACGCGACATTTCAATTTTCACTATAATACATGCAGTTTCGATTATAAGACACATATGTCTTATCTCGTACACACAAATAGGTGTCGTATAAAAAGGCTAGCCTGTTTATAAGAGACACCCGTATAATAGACAATCCCTGTCTACTATTCAACACTGTCTTATATCCGGGCGATGACGGTACTGGGTTGTCGGGATTCGGGGTCATGGGTACTGTCGGGTCTTGTCCGTAGTTTAGGTAAAATGGTGACTGTTGGGTCGTGGCGGATGGCGAGTTGTTGTACGCGAATTCGATTAGTGGTAGTTGCTGTTCCCACGTGGTCGGGTCGTCACACGTGGCCCTGATGAGCTGTTCCATGGTCTGATTTGTCCGTTATGTCTGTCCGTCGGTTTCGGGGTGGTATGATGAACTGAACTGCAGTCGCGTGCCGAACTGTTGCCACAGGTTCCGCCAGAAGTTGCTGGTGAATTTCGTGTCGCGGTCGCTGATGATCGCGGCTGGTATCCCGTGCAGTCGAACGACGGTGGAGATGAATAGGCGTGCTGTTTCTTCGGCTGTGATTGATTTTTTGCAGGCTGCGAAATGTGCCATTTTCGTCAGTCGATCGACAACGACCAGGATCGCGTCGTTCCCACTCGCCCCGGCTGGTAACCCCGTGACGAAGTCCATCGTCACCTGCTGCCAAGCACGCTCTGGGGGTGGTATCGGCTGCAACTGTCCCGCCGGCCGCTGTCGTGATGATTTCATGAGTTGACAAGTGGGACACGATGCCACGTGTCGTTGTACGTCGGTCAACATTTCAGGCCAGTAATAATACCGCTGTAGCTGCTGCCGTGTTTTTTCTACTCCGAAATGCCCCGAGGTAACTCCGTCGTGTGCCTCCTTTAATAGTAATTCCCGTAGCAGTGTATACCCAGGCACCCAAATGCGGTCAGTCCCGATTTTTACGTAATAGACTCCCCTTGCTGCTGCGAACTACTGCGAGTTTCCTTCTGTGAAGAATGGATCCGTTTTGTCAGACTTATATGATCTAGCCTGTGTAGGCTGTAGCGGGTTCGATACTAAGGGGTACACAATTCTAGGGTTTCATATTTGTATCACACTCATTCCTTAGTCAATCATTCCTCATTCTTTAACATGGTATAGAGCAGGTTCCCAAGTGGGAACGTTTCCTAGGGCCCACCACTGAAAATCGTTTTTTTTTTTTTTTTCCTGCCCGGAGCGCGCTTCGCTCCTGCCCGAGTCGTGCCCCGTGTGCCTGCCCACCCGTCGCGTCCCCTGCCATTAGCGGCCCGTCGCGCCCTCTTAAGGCCCCTCGCGGCCCCTCTCACGGCCCTTCGCGGCCCCTTCGCGGCTCCCTCGCGGCCCCTCCGCCGCCCTTTGCGGCCCCTCTCACGGCCCTTCGCGGCCCCTTACAGCCCCTCGCGGCCCCTTCGCGGCCCCTTCGCGGCCCCTCGCGGCCCCTTCACGGCCCCGTCGCTGCCCTTCGCGGCCCTGTTGCCGCCCTTCACGACCCCGTCGCCGCCCTTCGCGGCCCCTCGCGGCCCCTCCGCGGCCCCTTCTCGGCTCCTTCGCGGCCCTTCCGCCCCGCCGTCGCCGCCCCAGCAGCAGCAGCCGTCGCGCCGTCCCAGCCGCCGCCACCACTGCCGGGGCCGCCGCCGCCGCAGCTGCCGACAGCGGGAGCCGCCGTCGCTGCTGCCGTGACAGCACCAGCCGCTGCCGTCGCCGACAGCGGCAGCCGCCGCCGCAGCTACCGTGACGGCCGCCGCCGCCACCGCCAGGAGCAGCCGCCGCCGCCGCTGTCGTGCCGGCCGCCGCCGCCGCCGCCGGGGCCGCAGCCGCCGCCGCCACCGACAGCAGGAGCCGCCACCGCTGTCGCGGCCCTGTCCCTGCCGGCGCGCCTCGACCCTGCCCCACCACTTGCGGAACTCTACCCACCCGCCCTGGTAAGAGCACCGCCGAGCCGCGCCTCTGCTACTGAGCTGCTCCTAGCCTGCTGCTACTGCTCCTAGCCTGCTGCTGCTGCTGTCATGGCTACCCCTAGCGTTCTCGCCTTTGATGCTGAGGGTCGGGTTGTCGACTTTGAGGTCTGGGTCGATGATCTGCAGCTTTTTCTACAGTGCGATAGGAAAGACGGTCTCTCGCTGTTCGATCTCACGTCTGGCGCCTCTCCTGCCCCTACTGCCGATGCTGACAGCACTGTTCGCTCACAGTGGGCCACACGCGATGCTGCTGCTTGTCTTGCTGTGCGTAGTCATTTGCCGTCCACTGAGCGCGCGCACTTTAGTCAGTACAAGAGTGCTAAGACCTTGTACGACGCTGTCATTGCACGCTACTCTTCCCCTGCCACTGCTGCCCTTAGCCGCCTCATGCTGCCGTACCTGTTCCCTGACCTCGCCGCCTTCCCCACAGTCGCTGACCTCATTACGCACCTTCACACTAGTGACGCCCGCTACCGCGCTGCGCTTCCTGCTGAGTTCTGCGCCAAGAACCCCCCCCCCCATGTACATCACCCTCTACTACATAGTCACCCGGCTCCCTGACTCCCTTCGCTCGGTCAGGGACCACTTCCTCTCTGTTTGCCCCACCACACTCACCGTTGACCTCCTCGAGGAGCGCCTCCTGGCAGCTGAGAAGATTATAGTCGCTGTAGGAGCCTCTCGTGGTGACCCTCGTACCCCCTTCTTTGAGGGGTGCTCCCCCTCCCCCCTTTTGCCCTCTTTTGCCTCTGCTGCTGCCGTCGACTTCGTTGGCACCGAGTCGGTCGGCGCTGCGTCTGCCCCTAGCGGGAGACGCCGCACCGGCAAGGGCAAGGGGGGCAAGGGCACTGGAGGAGCTGGTGGGGGCGGTGGAGGTGGCGGTGGAGGCGGCGGAGGGGGTGGGGGTGGCGGTGGGAGTGGTGGCGGGGGTGGGGGCTTCAATGGCGGCGGTGGAGGCGGAGGCGGAGGCGGCGGTGGCGGTGGGAGCGGAGGAGGCGGAGGAGGAGGCGGTGGCGGAGGTGGCGGAGGTGGCGGCGACGGCGGCGGCGGTGGAGCTGGTCGGGGTGGATCTGCGCAGCGGGGCGGCTTCGGTGGTGGTCAGCGCCAGCAGCAGCAGCGCACTCGTCAGACCCCGCCCCCCCAGCAGCTTCGTGAGTGGTACGCTGCGCGTCAGCGGGGTGGGGGTGCTGGTCCCTGTGCCTACGTCCTGCGTACCGGCAACCGCACTGGTGAGCCGTGCGGTGGCCCGCACACCACCCAGCGCTGCTTCGACCGCCTGACGGACGCGTGGCGTCTCTAGTTCCCTGACGCCACTGAGATCCCCCGCTGGGGAGAGCTGCTTAGGTCGGGGGTTGCTATCTTTGATCTGGATTATGATGCTATTCTTGCTGCCATGTATGTTGTGTCTACTAGTGATGAGGGTGACTGTTACCTGTGTGTTCCGCCTGACCCAGGCATTGAGGCTGCTGGTGAGGCTGCTGCTCTAGGTGCTGGTGAGGCTGCTGCTCTAGGTGCTAGTGCGTCTGCTGCCCCAGGTGCTGGTGAGTCTGCTCTCTCAGGTACCACATCGGCTCAGGCCTTACACACCTTCACCCTTGACTTGGGTGCTTCCTGCTCCTTCTTTTGAGACCGCACCACACTCACGCCGCTTTGTTGGCCGGTTGCGGTCTCCCTAGCGGACCCCTCTGGGGGTCCTGTCCTTGCCCACTTCTCCACTGTCTTGTCGTGTCCGGCGGCCCCTTCTGGCACCCTGTCCGGTCTTTACCTCCCCTCGTTCTCTACGAACTTGGTGAGTGGTGCTGATCTACAGGATGGAGGGGTTGACCAGTTCACTCCTGCGAGTCAGCGGGTGACCCACTGTACGTGTGCTCGGAC